ACTTTGTAATCTTGGCGATTATTTGTTGCTCCGATAAATTGTCTCCGTAAATTTTATTTTATCTATGAATGATTTATATATATTTAAGCCTACACATTTAAACAGCAAGAAATTATAATCCTATCTGCTCGGGTCGAGTATTATTAATTATAAGATTTTGTGCAAAACTGAAAATTCCAAAATAATTTTCTAGAATTTGTTTCACTTAAATTCAATACTTTTAAATGAAATAAGACTTGTGTTTGTCTGCTATACATTTCTTTATGCACAAACGCGTTCATGGATGTCATTATCATGTAAAGATGAGAACGACAGTAAGACGGGAGTACCTAATCATTTCTAATCATTAATATCATCGATTCAATGTTTATCCTGTTCTTTTCCATATCGAACGTGACATGCAATGGTCTTCCATGGGTCAGGCTGATTGGTAGTATTTCTTTCGGAGGAAAAAAAAATAAGTGTCAGAACTCGTTTTGTGATACATAGTTGGCAACGACCGGTGATAGAATAAAACGGAATATTGACAGAAAAAAAATTAGTGAAGGAATCAAAATGAAGTAAACGCAAACCGCACAACCGCAAAGATAAGACGTAGAACTGATACAGACAACATGTTTTCCCAGTTTAATGCTCAGAGGTGCTACACAAGAAAAGTGAAAAAAGAAACTATTTAAAATAAAATTGCGCTTACAAATTCTTCACTGTGATACTTCAGACATCGTTACACACACGCAAGTATTTAATAAACTTGGATCTTACTTAGTGTGGTGCATTTAAATCATGTTATGTACATATTATGATAAAATATCTGAAACGATTCGCTTGTTTTGCCAAAGTCATAAAGTTGGCAAATATTTTGAAATACGAGCACTATAACGTCTTCCGAGAATTAAGCACTGCATTGCACAGTACATTCCAACTCTTTGTGGTTGGGATATTCCATGGGAAATCTATAATCCTACGCAAAAAGGAGCAATAAAAAGCAGCAACAAGTGACAAACACGGGTTCATGTGGCGAACTGCGCTGAACGCGTTATTTTCAAAGAGAACGGAACCAGAGAAAATGCCATTGGGTAATGATTGGAGTATTATTTTCTGGAGTAAATCAGGATACGTTTCCTATTGATTCGGGGAAAATGTCTGCTATTAATTTTGATACATGTATTTAACGAGCATGTTCTTCCACTGGTGAAAAAAAGAATTACTGAAATTGATCCATCTATGAGAAGTTATGCATTTTTTACAGAACACATTTCTACAACTGTCCATAGAATGCCATTTTATTAAACACAGGCATTCAACACAGTAATCAATGTATCAAACCAATGTTCCTATTCGAGGGGTCCGGAAGCGCGCCACCAGGTGGTCAACTTTCAGGCTCCATTCACTAGTTCAGCATTACGAATTGCTCTAGCTCCGGCCAAGTCGTCTCATGTGCAGACCGTTGCGTTATGGAGTGCAGAATGCAATACAATGCACAATAAATGAAATCAATCGGTGCACATTTGAAAGTGAAATTAACAATTGAGCCCAGTGATGTTGTGGGACGATATTAAAGAAACTTCCCATCGAATATACATGAGAGGAGCGTTCAATTGTTACCAGGAAACCCATGTTGATTACAACCATCATTACAAGTCTTTATAGTAAATTTTGGTGGCAAGGGGATGAATTATCAATTCAAATTCTGTTTGTGACAAACAGTGCTTCTTTTGTCCGATGCATAATTCATCTTTACTCCGCTTTTCTGAATCAACCCAAGGGCGAATGCCCCATCCTATAATAATTGAATAACCGGCCGCGAAAGTCCGGTACAAGCCGGATTGTGCTGACCGACAATGGCTGCGCGTGTGTTCTCTTGGGAGAAAGAAAAACAAGTGTAGCATTGCAAGTCCGCTACGATTGTTGGTCCAACGGGAATTATCTGCCGTTGTGTGTTTTTCGAAAGGTAGTAACGTCCGGATACGCGCGAGATTGCTATCTGGACTTGCCTGCCGCAGTATACAGCATCGGACCACGGCAAGGGCAGTAGCCGGACTCGGACTTTTTAGCGAAAATACCGGGACATGTTTTTCCCTCTTCATACCCAGAAGCAGCGTTATAAGGTGGAAGATGGGTGAATATCAGAATGCAATCAGAGTATACATTTCGTGTTTGCTATGCTATTGCCTCTATGGCTTTTAACTGAGTCGATATTTTTCTTCATTTTTTGGCGAACCTATTCTGAGCCGTTTTCATCATTCCGTTTCCGCGAAGTGTTGTTTTCAAATCATAATTTAAAGAAAAAATCTGACGAAAAGCAACAACTCGCGTCGTATGTCCTAAAAGCTCCTTGGGAAAACACACACAACTTTTACTTTAAGCAGTCATTTTCAAAGTGTTTTTACTTTCAAAGTGTTAATGAATTGCATTCTTGGATTTACAGGCTTCGATCATCATCACCGCGCTAGTCATTTTCAGATGTAGGATTTGTAAAATCCATTAATTAATCATCTGGAAGCTTAGCTCGAGTAGAAGGATCCCAGAACAACAGTTTGGACACATGAAGAAAGGACACAGTACCAAAGACAACATTCAGCATTTTTTTACCATTGCTGTCCTACATCTGTAGACCACAAAAAGAGATAAACGCTATTTCCAAATAAGCCAGGATGTTCAACGAACAGAATGTGCTGTATGATCCACTTATTACCATTACATGTAGTGCCCCAGATCCTCGTTTCAAAAATGATATACCCTCAAAATTCACTATGGTGTCCCATATAGACCTTATAGATCGATTTCTTGTTTGGCAACTGATCTCTGCGATTGTAATCAAGAACACGACAGGTGGTTTCATCGAGGAAGCAGAAAACAGCAATATATACCGTACTTCAGCCGGCACTGGGCCGTTGAAGGGTATTAATCATTAATATTCAGATATCTAAAATGTCCATACACCTGTCTCTGACAATAATCCCTCAAAACACATGAAGTTCCAAATCCATCAACTGCTAGTTTAGCGTTGAAGGCTTTTGTATTCCATCTGTGTCTCCGTTCCACGCAAAAAAACGATTGATATCTTCATTAAGCCTTTATCTGCAGAATGACCATCAACTGGTTCAGCTGTAAAATGCACCATATCGCTGAAAACACCGGTAATATGCAACCGTACGCTTTTTATGATCCTTTTGATTGTTATAATTTAGTTAACATAACAGAAAGAAACGACGTCGTGTTGTTTTTTTTTGCCTTTTTGTTGGTTGACAGAATGTCCTTATTGTCTGACTCTTTTAACTAGTACAATGTTCTGTTCAAAGAGGTTTTTTTCGTACCGATTGGATCTTGTGCTATGTCTCCATTCCAATGTCCTATTGGTTTCGATGTTATCTCTGTAGGTATTTGCATCGAACCTATCAATGATTGCGGACTACCGGACGCTATGGCCACATTTGCCAGCTCTGCGCCCAAGAGACTGCGCCAATCACGCACTCAAAAGCTGTTTCATTTTCAAAGAAGATGATCTTGAAAATCGGTCCCTTGAATTCTTTAGCCGATTGCCGTTTTCATCGGGGTTGAAACTTCCATCGATGTTTTCCTTTTCTTCATCGCAGATGCCATGAAAGATTCACTGTTAACTGATTGATAGAGTGCAGAAATTTGCTAATGGTTTTATCCCAAACGCATAGTGAGTTTGTCTTATTTCGTGAGTGTAATCAAGCCCTGAGCTTTACATCGCTCTCAAGGAAATATAAACCCATTTTAATATATATTTTCCCCTGAGGGTAAATGTTTTTACTAGATTTACAAAAAGCTGGGACTAAGTTGACTGTTTGAGGTTTCAATATACCAAGATAAAGTGATTGTCGTTTCCAATGAGGTAGCAAGAGGAACGCCTTCTGCTGCTAAGTATGTGACTTATCAGTCCACGTCGCACCAAAGGTACTCAAATGAAAGTAATGTCACTTATTAAGGGGATGGAAATGTCAAAGAAATCCGTTTATGTTTGTCCGTTTTAATAGAATATGTTTAAGTCATTGGTAAACTATGCAGGCGTATGAATGGTTTAAATCGAGGTTTAATAATGCTCGCAATTACCATTGTGCATCATGGCAGCTCTTAATGTACTCAAATCAGCGATCAGTTTAAAGTCTTTGAATTTAGTTCGAAACTTTTCCAATTTTTGTCCAACATTGGCAGCAACTTCCGCTATATTTGTTTTTGTTATTTTCAGAGAATGTTTATGGTGTTTATTTGGGTGGTGGGCTCCAAGTTGGTGAAATGTCGCAGCAAGGTTGCTTTGAATGCTGGAAGGTCGCCCAATCCGTTGCTTTGTGTGTGGCGATCACAATAATCCCCCAACTATAAAGCAAATACACGTTCAAATAATGAACGCCCAGTTCTGGCATTTACACGTCAATAAAGCTCCATAAATAACAACTTCCCGACAAGTTATTCAATTCGGTCACGGAGGGAGGAAATGTTGTGCCAGGGTATTTGCGGCTCACCGGTTGTTTTTACCGTCGGACACAATCCCCATTTACGCTCCTGAAATTCAAGAATTCAGCAACGATACCTGCTGTATTGGGCTCTTTTTATACGGATGAAATATAAGCCTTTACGCTATAGCGCGGCCTGCGTGATGTATCTGATTGTCCTCAACTCCGAGCTTAGATATCGCTTACTGTAGGCCCACTTATACACCGACCAAGATTGTGTAAGATGAAATATTGTATCGCTTGTCCTGGTGTAACCAAATATTGATTCATTATCTGAGCGAGTCTAGTGTCCCGCTCGGCTATTTGGCGGCAAGGTGCGCCTATTAACGCCAAATTCGCAGGTAATAAAGAGCGGGATGCGTCTGGACAATACACCAACGTGTCTCATGAGGTCATCGCTTGTCCAACTGCGTCCTAGTACATGCACTCTATCAACCAATGGCGAGGCGCTGCCAGACACACGTGACATCTCCGTCACCAACTCGTGTTTTTATTGCTTGTCTTTAGGGACAAGGCGGTTCCTGGATGATGATGTTATAGTTCAACATTGCTTGATAGACCGTACTCCAGGCTAACAGGTCACACCTGACTTTTTACATCTGTTTCAGAGCCTCACGTCACATCCCCACTCACTGCTGCGTGTAATGCTTAACAAGTGCGCTGGTCTCCACTACTTTTCTTAGTCCATTGGCGTATAACGACATAACTGAGTATCACGCTGTGCGACAAACATATAGTCGACCAGTCCGTTAGAACTGATAGGAAAAACTGCAATTGGAAACATTCACGAAAAACTAGTAGCAGAAATAGTACTGATCGCTGGACGGGAATCGGGAGATTTTAAGGTAAGTAATTGCCCGAACTTCTATCAAAGCCGCAGTATCATGTTCATTAAATTTCACATTGAAAGGAGCCCAAAAAGATGCTGTTTAAGATAATGTTTAAAGTAGTATTAGAGATGACACAGTGTGCGCAATGCTTTTATGAACTAGGCCTATAGGCCTATTAGCCTACTGCAAAAGCGTTGAGTTTAATTTTGATCGTTAAAAATTGATCATACTTTATCACATCGAAGGTTTTGAAATGGAAATTTCAAGGCAAACTAGAAATAGATGTTCGACTTTCCTTCATCCCTTACTGAAGAAAAAATGTGAACTGAAACATTTTAAAATCGTCATTTAATATTCGAATTTTTTTTCAAGGAAAGTTGATGATATTAAGATGTTTCATATAGGCCTATGTTCTGTTTGAATGTATCAATCGTTCATTATAGGTTCCACAACAAATTCTCACAAATTTCCTCTGAAATGCACTCCATAGAACGAACCCAAAGAATCGGAACGCATCATTTCTGAATTCCTGCGATAAAGTTTCGATGTGGGAACAAACGCTTTATTATTTTATCGGCTTCTTGTTTGATTTCCCCCCCTTTTTTTTAGGGAAAAGGCTATTTTATCCAAATTTATAATCACTGTGTAAATATGTACGGAGTAAAGTTGTAAGTCACCGAACAATTCTGCCTTGCATTGCTCAATGATTTGGCCTCAATAAATATTGCATGTTCCACCTGCTGTGCGAGGACACTCTATTGACATTTGAGAACCAAACTGGTTTAGTCAAAGAGTCAAGCAAACCTACATAATGCTATACTTGTAATAAAAAAATAATATGTTACATGTTGAAATGCGCTGGTGGACAGTTTGATCATGATAATCGTGTTCCAGGTTCCCTTCTTGCATTACGCGTTTGGGTTAAAGTAACATTACGTAAACATTCACTAATGTAGGCCTATTGATTTTTCACAGTGAATAACTAAATAATTGAATTGATTGTCATCACTTATTGCATGTGTTGAAAATTTGAACTCAATTATGTTCAACTAAAATGTCGAGTTTTATTGGTTACATGCTCCATTTTTAAACAAGAAGTCGTATAAAAGCAGATAAAGGGGTTGGTATTGGGTGACTATCCCCCTCTCCCCGCCACTCCGTCTGACCAAAGTTTATTATTTTGCTGGGGAAAAATTAAAATTTCTTTTCCTGAAATAACGTCGTTATTGGGGCAAGTAGGGAAATATTTGGGGGAATTGTTCCTTTGATGATACAAACATGGAATTTGGCACACAGAGTATGTCATGAGAAAGATATTTGGCTATAGGGCCATCGCAGATTTGTCCGTTGAAAGAAAATAGGTAGAATAGCAAGCAATATTTAAAATTTTCAAAATGGCTGACATTGCTATTCTACCTATATTTTTTTCAAAGGATACATCTGCGATGGCCCTATAGCCAAATATCTTTCTGCTGACATACTTTGACTGTGTGCCAAATGCCAGGCTTGTATCATTAAAGGCAAATTCCGTCACCTATCTGCCGCAGGCCTATACCGTATCTCAGTTCCTTGCTTACAAGGTTTTTTGGTTTCCGTGTGAACGTATTAATTCATGAAATCCCGAAGCAAAATTTCCATAAAAGGCAGGAGTAACACTGGCAATCACCTGGACACAGACCAACCGATTTAATCAGAACATTCTTGCTCAAAATGAACATAGGACTGGTACCAAATACCCTGTGAAATTATCCCGCCTGAAATTATATCGTTTGGGAAGAAAAAAAAATCATTGAAGGTTGTTTTGAAAACGTTTGTCCGTTGGCACACTTTTTATGTGCGTTGGCAACGGATCCCAGCAACGAGATCTCCAAAACCTGTTTTTTCTGTTTTCTCAAAATGTATATACATGTAGTATCCACCGAGCTATAACTTCAACAGGTTAGTTGTTATGCACCTTACTTCACATTTTGAGCAAAATAATGTGTTGTTTCAAAAGATCCAATATAATGTATACACCTTTAACGTGCACTCCTCACGCAACCAACAACATTTTGCCCCACCAACTTTCGTTCTCGAGTTAAACGTTATCAAGTTATTGTGCTGATGTCTTGAACACGTTTTTTCATACAAATTTTATTTGTTATTTACTGTGCCGCACAGGAAACCAATGTCATTTACTGCTCGTAGTTTGAATTATTAACAGCGATAATTCCAGCACGCTTTGGGCTAAAGCTTACAAACATTGGCTAATTACATTTTGACAAACTACGTCATTCTGTGGCCGAGATACGGGAGGCGAAATGGTTCCATGCCTCCGGCCACAGGTAAAATAAAAGGTTCATCTTAATAGGCCCAAAAATAGCTGAATTGTTGGGGCAAATTTATTTCGGGTAAGAATTCACATCTGAAGTATTAAATTTTTGATCTGGAGGGGCGGGTTCCGGGTGCTGAACTAAACCACACGCACTTCGCTCCATTTAATCCAATCCTCCAACTGCGAGGAAGTGACGGCAAAACAAACACGAGACCATTTCATGTTTTGGAACGGAAATTTGTGCTCCGGGCCGCTCTATTGATACTAGCTGGCAGGCAAGCTGGTTTTTGGTCGTCGGGAAATCGTGTCTCAGAAAACACGCGAGAGGGAAATAGAGAAAGAAAGAGGTAGAATTGGGGGCTCCACGTCGCGCCAGCCACACACCGACCTTGATCATATAGACACAAAGGCTTTAATCCGTTGCTTCCCTCCTTTTCTCATCTCATTTCAGTCATTCCGAGCAATCATTCCTGATTAAATTGCCTTTACTTCGATAATAAACGAGAGGCAGCCTTCTATACCATGTGGCAAATCGCATCTAAAATCAATTGGAAAGCTATATATAACGGACACCAAGGTGTAATGGGACGAGTTACAATTAAATATTATGGCTTCTATATGAGTAACCGCGAAAAACAAATTGTAGGAAAACTTAACGCCGTTCTAACAATCAACCCTAAAGGGGGGACACTTAAAGGGTCTATGAAATGAATTTTACACTGGAGAATATTTGTAGCAAACATCCATCCCTCTGAAATATATCAAAACTATGAAAATGCCTTTTTTGGAAAAAAGTGTTGTAAAGTGCACTTTTTAAAAAACATTTATAGTGTTTCATGCTTTTCCTGACAACTGAGGCCGCTGTTGCTGTGACGTCACTTTCGGAAGACACTCTTCGGATTAAGGTTTTTTCTTCAAATGTTAAACAAAAAAACAACAATGAACCACTGAAAGCAGAAAAGTAACAGCAAACCCCCAAATTTCTGGGCGATTTTTTATGCTGAAGCAGATGACACTGAAGTTTCTGCCTTGAATGACTTCACAGTTTTGCTCATGAATATGGAAATTTGCATTGGCATTAAAACCAAAAAGACACCAAAAACGTTTTTAGATGGCAATACGATGATTACAAAGAAACTCAAATGGGACACAAAGGTACATTTCAATTATTGTGTTTAATTTTCATTAAACAAAAGTTATTATATTACATGGGCCCTTTAAAGAGATATAATCTCCATACTAAAGATTTAGGAGATTTCTTTGTTGCGGATGTTATCTTGATGTTTCTGGGCTGTCTCATTATTATTCCGATTTTATTATCTCGGCTTCGCAAGTGTTTGTGTCATATTGTGTTGTCTGCTGTCGTTCTTTACATTGAATGGAATAGCCGCCGGTCATTCTGACTCATTTTTATTTATTTTTTTAAACTCTTAATGGCTTAATGTAACTGATGGATACTCGTTTGTGTAAAAAGAGGTCATCCTTTCTCACGCTTGCATTAACACCTCTCATAAAAGTGCCCGATGTTATTTGGAGAGTGCAGGCGTGAAACCGCCATTGCTGCCATGAAGACTGATCTTAATTGTAGCCGGGGTGTGATATTAAGGCATAGGGTCTGCATGGCCAAGTAAGCCGTGTGTGAGCCAGATGTCACCCTCGCGACCCTTAATGTGCTATCGCTAGTTTAGCTCGCACTCCATTATTCAGGGCTATTACCGCCTTCGTGATATCTGGGGATTCAGTGTTTGACCTCTATTTTGTATGGCGGTTCGAATCCTTTTTTCCAATCTCCGGAGCAATCTCCCATGGCTGTTACTCCTGTGCCTCATGTCCGAGGCTGCATTGAAAACCATCCAGTGGGCTAGTTATTACATGACAGATTAATAGCTGATAAGACACTGCACTTGCTGTAACGCCAGAAGTGACCAGTCTTATCACAGGGCTATCTCACCGAGTAGCCCATCCGACTTAATGCGGACCTAGGATCTCCAACATGTCTTACACTTTTGTTGGCTTCCCCCCCCCCCCCCCATACAACCATAATATCATAAGCTATTCATAAGTTATTCATATCATAAGCTGTTTTCTCTGGAAAACCATGGAATGGTTAATTCAGTGGAATGGTTTGTTCTAAGGGTGTGGTTTAAGCCCATAAATATCAACACTGGTCAGTTTAGATACCAGGCCGAAGCCGCTAAATCTTTTTTTAAGCCTATACTTGTGTTTATTTTTAATAACTGACCACAATGCGTTGCCGGTCAAACCTTTAATAGTCTTTACCTTGGAATTGAGTCCGTAGATTTTACCCAAGGCATGTATATTTATAAATATCGAATATTAAGTCCTCTGTACAGCTGCACAGAATAAAACACAGTTTGTATAGTTGTTAGTCATGGAAGAACATATCCTGATTTCGATTAAAATTAACGTCCAAAACACGTAAAGGCCCTATTTCCAGATTTAGTACTGTGTACGTGTGATAATTCATCTAAATATTAAAGTTTACAACGACATACAGGAAAAGCAAGAAAAGATCAAAATCAATAAAATGATACATCTCTGTACGGTACCCATCCCCACATTGTCAAGTCATTGCTCTTATTTATATTTATTTGTTAATTAATTTTTTTAAATGGTTTAATAAGCTAAACAACTTTTTTCAACGACTAGTAAAGGGGTCTTCGAAATTTTGCTGGAGCCA